AATTCTCACCACATAGAACCACTTCAGGGTTGTATCAGGGCTTAATAGCGTTTGTTAAATGTTACTGAATGAGTGACCTTCAAATCTAGGAGGCTTAGGTTAGCGAATCATGGTATGATATCTCATTCTTTTTATAAGTTGAATTTAGAAAACAAATGTAAATGGGGTACAGATATAGCTATGTGGTATTACTGTTGCCTAGCATGTTCAAGGTCAGGGGTTCAATCCCGCATACCATCAAAATAAAAAGAATAGTAAAGGAAAGAAAAAGAAAACAAAATAGAAACCAAATGTAAAGATCCTTGAAAACATATTAACTGAATAAAAGTAATATCCACGTACAAATTTAAACCTAGAGACAAACTAGACAAAACTGGACTAGAAAAAAATAATAAAACATGTTGTAGAGGAATGAAAACAGGGAGTGGGTGTCATGCTTTTATTTTCCATTTTAAAGCACATTTTGAGGGCTGTAGAGATGACTCAGATATTAAGAGTGCTCACAGCTCTTGCAGAGGACCAAAGTTTTGCTTCCAGAACACACATGACAGCTCACAACCTTCTGTCATTCTAGCTTCAGGCAATTCTGATATCTTCTTGGGCCTTCGAAGGCACCAGGCACATACATGATACACACATATCCAGGCAGGCAACACACTCAGACACATAAATTAAAGATAAATACATCTTAAAACACATTTTGTTCCACATGAAAATGATGACAGGATAGGAAGCAAAGAAAATAAAGGAAGAGAAATGATCACTACCCTGAGGGTCTGCGGGCTGGCTCAGCATGCTCTTGGCCTTTCTGAATGTTTAGCATTTCTGTCTATGACCAAGAAAGACCTTTCAGCCGGTACTATTAAGGCTCAGTTTTCTTCCTCTGCACTTTGCTAATATGGCTCTAGGAATGGCAAGTCTGTGTTGAATGTTAGCTAAGTACATAGTTTTGTTCAAACTTATTCAAGTCTTTCAGACCTCCTTAAAGATGGTTGCTGGGAGTTGAACTCAGGACTTCTGAAAGAGCAACCAATGCTCTTCACCTCTGAGCCACTTCTCCAGCCCCTCAGACCTCCTTACATTCACCTTTCTTACTGGAGTGTTTTTTAGAGAAGGAGAAAAGAATAATGTTTTTTGCCGGGTGTTGGTGATGCACGCCTTTAATCCCAGCACTCGGGAGGCAGAGGCAGGTGGATCTCTGTGAGTTCAAGGCCAGCCTGGTCTACAGAGCAAGTGCCAGGATAGGCTCCAAAGCTACACAGAGAAACCCTGTCTCAAAAAACAAAACAAAACAAACAAAAAAAGAATGATGTTTTTCTTTTTTAAAATATATTTTTCTACATATGCTCAATGCATTTTTCATACTTCTCACTTAGCCCCCTAACTCCACCCAGACTCATGCCCCCCATACTTCCAACTTTGTGCCATCTTTCATTTATTCTGTCATAACCCACCAAATCCAGCTTGTGCTGCCCATATACTCATGGGTGTGAAACCCACTGGGGTTTCAAGGACCTACCAGGGACCACACCCTTTAAAAATGACTTTCCTTCCCCCCAAAACCATTAACTGTCAATTCCTCAACTAGCTGCTGATGGGGGAAGTCCTTCTGTGTATTTGTCTTATTGGTTAATGAATAAAACACTGTTGGCCAATAGGGAAGCAAAATAGGTAGGACTAGGAGAGGAGGATGATTCTGGGAAATGTAGGAAAGAGGGTCATTGACATGTGATCCCAGGAAAATAGGACACTAAGGCTGGTGTCCTTGGTAAGATAAGTCCTTATAAAATATATAGATTAATGGTTATGGTTGATACTTAAGACAGAGCTAGCAAATAAGAAATCCTAGTCATTGGCCAGCAGCATTGTACCTAATATAAATCTCTGTGTGTTATTTGGGGGCCCTAATGTCGTGGCAGAACTCAGGTGCCTGGTGGAAAGAGACATCATTACGAGCTGCAATTGCTCATGCAGCTGTACACTGGAATGTTGACTGGCTTGATATTGTGCAGGTCATGTTCAGGGCAACCACAGATGCTGTCGGTTTACAGGAACAGGATCCTATCATGCCTAGAAGATCCTGATTAGTTCAGTCCCCCTTGACCTCTGGCTATTACAATCTTCCTGCCCCTCCTCTGATCTCTGAGTTTGAGTGGAGAGAGTATGACATAGGTGTCCTATTTGTGTCTGAGGAGTTCACAAAAACTCATTCTCTTTACTCTGACTAGCTGTAAATTTCATTGTTAATTGATGTCCAAAGAATGCTCAAAGGATGTCCAAATTATTTATAAAGAACTTTCTATGATGAAGACTGAGAGTTGGGGTTTGTTGTTGTTGTTATTATTCATTTGCCTTTAAAAAATGGCAAATAGGACTCAGGAATTGGCTCAGTGGATAGAAGCACTTGTCATACAACCAGATTTTGAGTTCCAGAGCCCACCTGTAGAAAAAGAAAAAGCCAAATGCAGTGTGGACATCTGTAACCCTTGCACTCCTAAGGCAAGATGAAATGTAGAGACAGGAGAATCAGCCAGAAGCTCAAAGACCAGTTAGCCTGAAGTATCCCAAGAAATAAGAGAGATCCTGCCTTACCAAGGTAAAAGGAAAGAACCGTCTCCCAAAAACTATCCTCTAACCTCTAAAGGCATGCAGCAACACACACACACACACACACACACACACACACACACACACACACATACACACACGTAAGTAAATTTTTCTTAAAATTAAAAGGCTGCCATGTAAAGACAAAATGTGCATATTTATGAAGTAATAGGATTTTACATGTATATGTTGTGTAACTTTCATGTCTGAGTCAATACCTCTTGCCTGAAAGTTTTGTTGGCATTTTGTGGAAACATTGAAAATCCTTTCCGTAGCTTTTTGAAATCACAGTACATGTAGTTATGAATGGTCGCCCTCCTGTGCCATGCCAGGCAGAAAGGTTTTACTCCTAGCTAACTGCAGTTCAGTACCCGCTGATCACCTTCCCCTTTCCTTCTGTCTCCCCAGCCTCCACTCTCCACCTCCCTTGGATCAGCGTTGTGTTGAAAGCCTTTGTTGGCACTGCACTCACGCCGCCAGCCTCCCACTCCTGCCTTTGTCCCAGTCTCTCTTGCTTTGTCCTTGGTTGCCAGTTTGTGCGTGGGCACTTCTCTGGAACAAATAAAGCTACTGAGCTGAGAGAAATCAGGACCAGAGAAACCTAGAACAGATAAGGTCCCCAAACGTGCCTCCCCTGTACATCTGAAGTTCCCTGCCTCGGACATCTTGATAGGTTCCTTGTCCAAATGGTTTCTTTTCAAACAAAGTTGTGGAGGATTCAGACAGGGAACAGAAAGACCCACATCAACCCCAGTCAAAGAGACTCAGTTCCTGGAGTTGTGGTCCTTTTCCATCCTGTTCCCTTGCTTTTCTTGCTCCCCTGTCGCAGTGGACTATACCTGTTTCCTTCTAATTCCATGGAAGCTATGCTCTCACTTGCCGGTTGGCAGACCTGTGTGATAATGTCTGTCTGTCTTATCCTTGATTACAAAGAGAGCCTCACAGGCCATTATTCCTCCAAGGTCAATAAATTCATGGTGCAAGAAGACATGATCTGCTTGTAATCCTTACAGACAGCTACTTAATTCTCAATATTGTGTCTCAATATTGTGTGTATTAAAATCTAGTTTGACATAATGAAGTCTCTACTGCAAATCCATAGTTATTACAATAAGCTACCTGGTATGCAAGTGATTAGAAAATATTTTATGTCCATAAGTAGTATGAATCAGTAGTACAGTCAGTAGAGTGTCTGGACCCAAGTACTGGGACTTGACTTCATGTCTTCAGTAACCATATGCAATTCTAGGCCTAGTGGAGTGTATCTGTAATCCTAAAACCGTGGGTGATGCCAGGCAGACAGAAACCCAAGTTCACTGACATGCTGGTCTTGCCTAGTTAGTGAGTTCCAGGTTCAGTATACCCTGTCTCAAAAGAAACGGTGGAGAATGGTAACCTTCAAATACACATCTGGCCTCCATATATGCAAGCACATATGTACACATATGCCCACAACACACAAATATAAAAAGTATAAAATAAATCTGAAGTGTTTATCTTATTACTCTTTATCAATAAAAACTCTTTGGAGTCAGCTATGTGGGTAAGAACCTGAGTGATCAGAGAAGTGGCCAAGAAGCTAGCTACCAGTGACCTCTTCTCTCTCTCCTTCCTCCATCTAAAAGGCCAAGAATCTTTCTAAACCCCTCCCTACTACTTCCTGCGTCTCTCTATATGTCATTGGTCCTCCAAAATCTCTATGGCTAATTTTGGCCAACTAGTAGCTAGCCCTGCCCTCTGATTCAAAGTAAGCTTTATTGCCAGTCTCGGGAGTGTCAGGGTGCAAATAAAATATTCCACAACGTCAATCATCACATAATTCATTAGCTTCGTTTTCAACATAATTCCCAGTGATCTTTTATTAACATTCTGAAAAACTCAGAATAATCATGACAAAGTTTTGAGATGAAGCTGAAAAGCCAGCTACAGGCTGGGCCAACAAGGGTGGTAATATTAGAGGAGCAGAAGAAATAGTAGTTCAGTTGAGAAAGAAGAGTGAGAAAAAAAAGAGGCTAAAATCATGACAGGACTAGACACAAATAAAAATATCCTTCATGACTATGAACCGTCAAATGAAGGGCCAGATGATACGAAACGCTCCAGAACATGTGGAAAGCTAAATATGTGCTCTGTCTGATTCAACGGTGATATGTTTGGCTTCCTGGTGATGAGGTGAAACAGAATAACTGTGTTAAACAGTTCCTCTTCCAGGAGTCTGGAGAGAGTTCCATGACATTGGAGGATGTCTGATGATTACGAAGGCCAGGACTCTTATCTACCTTCAAGTGGCTAACATAGTCACCTCTGCGCCTGCCTGATATCATGAGAATGTTTGGCCAGCACAGCTGACTTTTAATGACAAGTTTTATAACTATCTTTTTTGTTTGTTTCAGGCTTGTAAATTCTACAGTTCCCAGTGGTATGTGGTAAACTACAAATACGAACAGTATTCTGGAGACATACGACAGTTACCCCGGTAAGAATGTGTCATCTATTTATTCTAAAGACTATGTGGGCTTTTTTGTATATGTTAAAAAAATCACTGCTTTGCAAGCTCCAGCATTGTTTATGAACACAAATGTGTTTATTTTGTGTCGAGGTACATTTTGCAAAATTTATGACTCAAGATACAGAACATTTTGATCGACAACATAATAGTTCTGTTGTTATAATAAGAGTTTGGAATGAGACTCTGTCTTCTCTAATTTGATGCCTCATTGCAGTTTGAGCATTTGCTTATCCTTGAATCATTCATCGATGGGCTGTCTTTTCAATGATGGCACTGGGAAAGGCTAACATGGATCAGAGGACTTCTGACCAAATCCCATATAGCACTGATACCCACCACTTGCTTTATGTACTTTTACTGTAGGATGTCAAAAAACATGCAAATGGATTCTCCAGAAGGGCATATATCTAAAAAGAGAAAAACAAAAGCTCAATGCCTAAATTGCCCCTGACACTTTGGACAATAAAGCCTTAAGAAAGGTCACTCAGTTCACTTCTCCTCAAGCATCACTCTGGAGACTCATCTTCTCACCTAAACTACAGTATTTATTTATTGTTTACCCTACTGAAATAAAAGCCTTCAAAGAGCAGGGAAATTCCTTGCTGAATCCCCTTCAGGATAATACTATGGAAAAATTTATTTTAATGTACAACGTTCCCAAATGGGGATAAAGTTGCTGAAAATAGAAAAATAAAATAAAATAAACTGCTTTGAATTAGTACCTCTCAACTCATTGGTTCATCAAATAAACATCATACAAAGATACAAACACTTCAGGAAACAAACAAGACTATCAATAGTTCAGTGTCTACTTATACTCTCCTCAAGTGATGCACACTGGGTCAAGTTTGGTTTATTGTTTGTTTGTTCTTGTTTTGTCCATGCCACAAAATTCAGCTCTGCTTTGAAATATTTTCTGTCCCCAGGAAAATCTTTCAAAACTAGGATACTTCCATGCCACAAAATTCAGCTCTGCTTTGAAATATTTTCTGTCCCCAGGAAGACACTTGCAAGTAAGTGCTGTCTCACTTCCTGAAGGCAGACTCTGAAAGGGGAATTTTTGAATGGCTCTTAGAAAGTAACACTGGAACTGTATCTTAAACACAGCTACCAGTGCTGTGATCTCAGGAAAAGGGGTTCTGGGAGTGGGGTAGGGAGGGCGGAGGACAAAGGCAAAGGCCCTGAGACCAAAGTTGATATGATCATGTGAGCAGAATGAGAGGCTGGGAGGCTAGAGGGTGAGGGCTGGAAGAGGAGCATAGCACAAAGAATCCAAGGACCTTGTAAAGACTAGAGGGGAGATTGGATTTTATTCTCACTGTGAGAGAAGTCTTGAGGAATGTCCACAAGGGTATAATGTCTTTTAGAAATCACTTGGCCTACATTTTCAGGAGTGACATAAAAGAGAAAGGAGAGGAGGGAGCTTTTTTTTTTTTTTTCTTTAGATGTTGTCTTACTGTGAAGAACAAGCCAATGCTTCTCCAAAACAGGAAGTCTTTTTTCAAAGAAAGCCCTGTGCTTTAACTCCTACATATTTCTAAGCATTTTGTAAAACTCGGGACTCCTTAATGATAATCTCTTGTAATTTCTTCTTGGGAAAGTCCTGTCACACTCTGGGGTGTCTTAAGTAATGATGACATTCAGGATGTCTGGGTGTTAGTCACACACTTCCTGTAGGTGCAAGTGAAAATCAAATTGTTTTCTACCATCTGTGCTCCCTCTTTCTAAGAACAGCTCTGAGGATCAGTCATAACTTGGAAGCTATATCCATGCTTGAAAAACCAGGTGTTAAAAGACAGGACTAAGGCAGCCACATTCAGCTCCCATTGTTTTTGCATGTTGTCTGTTCAGTGCTTATGGATGTTTGTGTGTGTGCTAGTTCACCTGAAGCTAGTGTTGGGAGTTTACCTTACTCATAGCAAGATCTCTCAGTTGATCCGGAGTTTGTCAATGTGGCTAGTCTCCCCAGCCATCTTGTTCTTAGGATCTCCCCAATGTCTGTGTTGTGAGGTGGGCTACTATGCCCACCCAGCCTTTCCAAGGATTCTGGGGATCCAAATTTCAATATTTATGCTTGTGTAACAATTGTTCTGCTTGGTGAATGATCTCCCATGACCCTTCTCCTTTGAGTAAAAAATTTTCTACTCTCTCAGATACATGGAGCACTTCAAGTAACTTGAACTACCAAATACTATTTGTTGTTATAGTCATGATGTCATAAAGGAAGTTAATGCAGTATTTCAGACTCACAGAGTTCTCCCTCTATTGAAGGATACAGAAAGCATGTCTCCCATAGTCATGATGTCATAAAGGAAGTTAATGCAGTATTTCAGACTCACAGAATTCTCCCTCTATTGAAGGATACAGAAAGCATGTTACTAAGGAGAGATTCTGGGTGTGGTTCCTGAGTTAGGTTTTTCTGTGTGTAGACACATCTCCAAAGTGGTAAGATAATGTGACTGAAAGGTTGTTGAGAATTTTATTCACATTACCTAATGATGTGGAAGCAGATATTAAGGACAGGAGAGTTTGGTAGGAAGTCAAAAATTTTAACTTATTTTCATTATATTCACATAAAATACATTCTATCATAAAAATAAGTTCTAGAGTAGAATCCCCTAACATATGCCCCAGAATAATGAATACTTTAACACTGCATAGTAGAATTATTTTTTAATGATTTTTACAAAGCTAACAACTGCCCCCTAAAGACTATTCGTATTTAGGTCAGTAGTGGAAACATTAATTTACTTAGGCCTTGTGAGGCTGTTAAAAGTAAATCATGTTCATACCTCCTGAATTAGAAGAACTCTCCTATGTCTGCTACCAATTTAAGCTGATCATTTCTTTTTACAAGTTGCTAAGACTGCAAAATAAAATTATAAAAGATGAAATTATGGGAAAAGTTTTTTAAAAAGTAAAACATATACTTTGTTACAAGTTGCTAAGACTGCAAAATAAAATTATAAAAGATGAAATTATGGAAAAAGTTTTTAAAAGTAAAACATATACTTTAAAATTTGATGGCATGCTAATTTTAACTCTTAAGAACGTGCATGTTTTCAAGTGTGTATTCAAAAAATCAAACTAGAGATATCCCTTATTTTTACTAGAATGGGAATCATCAGCCTTCCCAGAGTCAACATTGAACTTGGAGTTCCTGGGAAATTCAAATGGCATAAAAATGTATGCTGATACTGACTTCATTAGAACATTGATAAAATAAAGAGATTCACAGCATAAAACAAAACAAAAAAGTTCTACCACAGTTGATCTGAGAAAGAATATTTCTCAAGAGCATATTTTTGGGGCTGAAGATCAAATCAAGTTTGACCAGCTCACCTGGGCTAACCAAGGACAAAAATGATATCTTTTTTAAAAAGGAAACTGAGCAGGGTAGTATATACTAAAAACTCAAAAAGTGGAGACACAAGATTTAAGATCTCAAAATCATTTTTGTCAATATAGGGTGTTCAAGGCCAGCTCAGCCTACTCAGCCTGTCTCAAATATAAAGGAAAAAAATCTTAAATAGTTAAACAAATATTTGCTCATTGTTGATGGTATGTTAGGATATGTCAGGTGTGGTACACACATTTTCTCATGTTAACCATATAGAATGAAAGCTGTTGTTGCATTTTACATGGGAAATATGAGTACTAAGATCACAAATAATAACTGAGGGAGCACTCAAGTAGCGCCATGATCCTTCTTAGGGCAATAAGAGGAAGTGAAAAATAAGATTCCCTGCAAATAATTACTCAAACTGGGTTCAAACTTAAGATATGAAGTCCCTGGCCAGTCTTTTATCTTGAGATTTCAAAGGTCCTTAGGGACTGCCCAATGCTCCTTCAAGTTAAATTTTTGAAGGAAATAGTGATACAATCTTTTTCTTTCTTTTTTTATTAATTAAATTGTTTCATTTATTTTACATCCCGACTACAGTTCCCATCCCTCCTCTCCTCCTATTCCCTCCCCCTGCCTCCTCTCTGCCACTATGCCCCCATCCACTCCTCCTCTCTTTCTGTTCAGAAAGGAGTAGGCCTCCCATGGGTGTCAACAAAGCATGGCATATCAAATTGAGGTAGGACTAAGCTCTTCCCTTGGTATTAAGGCTGGGTGAGGCAACCCAGTATGGGGAACAGATTCCCAAGTGTTAGGGACAGGACCTTATCTCACTGCTAGGAGTCCCACAAATAGACCAAGCTACACAACTGTCACACATATATAGCAGGCCTAGGACAGTCCCTTGCAGGGTCCCTAACTGTCGGTCCAGAGTCTGTGAGCTCCTGTGAGCCTAGGTTAGTTGTTTCTGTGGGTACCCTTGTGATAAACTTGACCCTCCTGGCTTATAGGGTCCATTTAGCAGAATAATAGTAATAGGTTCTCCTCTAAGGTCTATAACCTATGTAGCTACAAGTTATTAGCCTTACCAATGGTGTCCAGTACAGGCTTCATCATTAGGAACAGCCCCTGGTTCAATCATAGAAGTGGTTGAATATGCCCACAACAGTCACATCACTGTTGCACCAATGGACATGCCTTGTAAGCTCGTCCAGACTGTTTCCCTTGTTCTTGGTACCTCCAGAACTTGATGGTAAAGCCTTACTGCTGAAGATCCCACATATTAGAGTCATAAAACATGGAGAAACAAGTTTATTCTGACATGGAAGCTTCATCCTCGCTTACTAGCATTCTTAACACTGGAAGGTGCTATGTATGCTACCAGAAGAGAAAAGCAATCATCAGCCTTGCCAAGCTGTGAACCCTGTGACTTATAGTAATGACGGGTCTGGCAATGAATGGCCACTGGTACATAATGCAAGAGCATTATGGGATTAACCAAACACTTTCTGGTTAGACTTAAGGTTCATTTACTTTACTGTAATAGGAGACAACATTGTATTTTCCTATCATGTGCAAAATGAAGTTTTGAAATATAGAGGCATTGTGGAATAGTCAAATCTAAGTGATTAAGAAATGGATCACTTCACATCATCATCATGTTTGTGGTGATAGCTCTTAATAGAACTCCTTCTATAGTTTACAAAAATGTGTGTGTGATCAGTCAGCATGGAAGTTTCATCCACTTTCCCTTTACTGCCATAGCATCAATTTCAAAACCCCATAATGCACATATTTCAGACAAAACATTTCAAACAATTGCTCTGAAACTTGCCATTTGAAATTGCCCCTGAAACTCAGATGACATGTCACCTCTCATGAGAGGCAGAGAGGAAAATACCGTTTTTGAAGGCTTTATCTTGTCAATGAATATAAATGTAAAAAGAGTTGTTTCTTGTTCAAGGAGTATCATATGCTATTACAGAGAAAAGGAATGGGGTAGGAAGAACTTGCCAGTGATCCTAAGGTAATACTGTAAAGACTACTTGCTATGCCTTACCAAAGAGGTGAACATGACCAAAAGGAGGAGAACAAGTTAACATCCTTGTGACAATTAGCATAGATGAGTTGGGATTTCTTTGAGGTTCTGCAAAGACAAAAATTTTTAAATGGCTATATTCTTCCTAATATGTCTTCTGTGATGATTTGAAGTCATCTTTGCTGATAAAATTATCTCAAGCTACATCCCCCAGCCCCATCTCTCATGTGTGTTTTTATAAGTGACCCTTGGGCTCTTCATTTTTATCACTGTAAAACAGTGAGATTAGACAAGTCTGGAGCCCCGTATTGTGGGAGAAAGTCTGATCATATGCACATTCGATTAGACAAAAAACAATATCCCATACATATTTAAGCTTGAGTACAAAACTTCTGTCTGTCTTTTTAAACATCTTCTAACATGTCAATAAGCTGTGGATGGGGAATGTCACATTATATGTTACTGTTTTCAATGTGAAATAACTTGGGTACATGTAACAATATAACTCATACATATCTATTAACAGTTATGTTTTGAATACCTAGTATGTGCCAGACTTGAAGAGGAGATAAGGTTGTGTTTGTGTGTGTGTGTGTGTGTGTGTGTGTGTGTGTGTGTGTGTGTGATTCACCAGCAGGCGCATTCTTCTCTGTATATGAGTGTGTAGACTCCAGTGTGATTCACCAGCAGGCGCATTCTTCTCTGTATATGAGTGTGTAGACTACGTGTGAGGTCAACATCAATTGTATTACTCTATCTCCCTCAGAGAATCTGGATCTCACCATTTCAGCTACAGTGGCTGGCAGTAAACTCCTAGGAATTTCCTATCTCCACCCCACCCCACCCCTTCCCTTCCAGTACTGGGATTCCATTCACACAGGACACTTCTGGTCTTGACATCGTTGTGGGGAATTGGAACTCAGGTCCTCATGCTTGCATAGCAAACACTTTCCCCACTGGACCATCTCTTGGCCCAAGGGGATAGCCTTGAAATAACACTTTCTACAGCTCTCCTTTCCACATTTAACTGTTGAGAAAGACAATTGCCACTTGCAAGTACTTATCAGCAGGTCTTGAGATTTTACCAAGGTCACAAACAAACAAACAAAAAAGTAAAGAAGAAAATTGGAACGAAAACACAGAAGATTCCACAATGCATCCTGAACTGTGAATCTCAAGTCCTGTGTTCATCACAGTAGCTATCAGGACCCAAAGAAGGAAAATGTTCAGGGGCAGGCAAAGGTGATGGATGTAAAACATGTTCTAGTTTTTGACAATCTGTTAAGAAATGGACACTGCTTACCAATGAAGGGGATTTTCTTCTGTGCTGGGAAGTGGGCACTGGGGTGTCCTTTAGAGGGAGGAAGTGGCACTGGGGTGTCCTTTACAGGCAAGATGGAAGAGCACTTTATATCCATTAGGGAGCATAGCTCGAGAATGCAGGGAAGGAACTTAAGTGTAAGAAGCCTTTAGTCTTCTCCTTTAGTCCTCTCCGTTTCTCTCAGGAGCACTGTTAGCTCAGGAACGGGTTTGTGATGGGAACCAACAGATTCTCCTCTAGTCTTCTTTTCTCACAGTCAGATTCAGATTCTACAGTATGTGTCATCTTACAACATCTGAAATGTCTGCATAAAGGGGCAAAGGGCTGGCTTTCGAAGAAAGCCTAAACTTTGAATGGAGAGTGTGGCTTCTTCTGGTCATCCGTCATGACACAGACTTGTGCCAAGGGAGACTTACTTCAGAGATAAAGCCAGGTGTGTCGGCTGGCTTCTCTGGGGTGACCAATCATGCCACAGCTCAAACTGCAGTGATGCCAAAGGGTGCACGTCCCATGTACAGACACAGTTGCTCCATTTGAGACAACCTGAGGGCCAAAACACAGGCTGTCTCTCAGGAATCAAGTCATTCCATGCCTGAGGCTACTTAGGCAACCATTCTGTAGCTTTGGCCATGTCACATACAGGTGACCCAGAAAAGCTAACAAAGGTGTCTTTGCTTAATATTCTACTTCAGAATGCAGAAGACAGAACTCTCTGTCCATCCTCCTTGCTCTCCTTCACTACAAGAAGATATGTAAAAATTCATGTCAATAAATTTGTGACTCCACAATTTAAAAATATGTATTTAGTAGAGATAAGATACCATGATGTAAGGGGATTTAACTTCCTGGAGAAAAAGAACCTCCGGATTTTTAAGGTTGCAAAGCATAAAAAAGTTGGAACAATGTTAGTGGAGTCATTGTGATCTTGGGAACAGCAAATAAATAAATAAATAAATAAATAAATAAATAAATAAATGACATCAAATGACAAACTGGACTTTTTTTCTTCTTTTTTGAAATATCAGAGCAGAACACAAGCCAGAGAAACTTCCTTCACACTCTTTTGAGGTTGACCATGAAGATGCTGATAAGGATGAAGTAAGTGGTTGTTTTGTGTGACAGGTTTAAAACCTGAGGGCAATTAGTTCCAGTCTGCAATGGCTTCTTTGTTTTTCATGAGCAGGAGGGGCTGATTGTGTTGGGGGCTTTTAGGCAAAATAAATCATGTTTGTTTTGACACTGAACATGTTATTGCAGATGAATCAAGGAGGAAAAGGAGTCCTGTTTTTAAGTGCCGCCGTGTCTAAGATCCGAGCTCCACGAGGGTGGCTGCAAAGCTAATGATGGCTTTCATTGCAGGATACCACATCCCACTCATCTTCCAAGGGTGGCGGGGGAGCTGGAGGTTCTGGTGTGTTCAAGTCTGGCTGGCTTTACAAGGGGAATTTTAACAGCACTGTGAACAACACTGTCACTGTTCGGGTAAGGACACATCAAAACTCATCCCTGCTCTGTCCCCTTTCTTCCCATCCCTTCTTGGGTCACAGCATGGAGAGAGGAGCCATTGGCATGACGTCTATGCTTTCTATAATATTTTATTTATACACAAGTCAGGCTCTGCTCTAGAGCGGTGCCCTGTTGAAGACCTTTGAAGACTTGTCACTCCCATGAGTAGCTGAATAATGAAATTCAAACTCTCTCCTTCTATCTTTTATTTAGTCATTCAAAAAGCGCTACTTCCAGCTGACTCAGCTGCCAGACAACTCCTACATTATGAACTTTTACAAAGATGAAAAGATATCCAAAGAACCCAAAGGCTGCATCTTTTTGGATTCCTGCACAGGTGTGGTACAGGTGAGTGCAATCCCTCTTCCCCATGGTGGTTTTATTTTTGTTGCATGGTGCATGCAACAAGTACTTAGAATATATCTGTATAAGTCAAGAACGTTCTAGACTCTGGGAACTCATTGAAAAACACACAGTCTGTACTTCCACAAAATCTGCTTCTAATAGGAAAAAAATCAGGAAATAAGCAAAAAGAGAAGGAAACAGTGGAATCAGTTGGGAATTTTTCAATAAAAAACAACCAAAAAAAGAGAGGTAAATAGACAGAAGAAATGTGTGTCATGATATCGAAAAGGAATACTGATATTTGAAGAGGTGTTTTGGAAAGAGACAAAAAGAATTTAAAGGAGATAAACAGAAGGGAGACTAAAATATCTCTGGGATAAAGACTGGACAGGACTAGTGAGCAGTAAGTCCTGAAGAATAAGCAAGTCTTAGCTGTTTATTTCAAGGAAAAGAAGAAAGCAACCCTTGTCCAGTCTACAGCCTAGAAAACCACTGAATTAATGAAATTCGTGGGAGAGACACATCA